TTTTTTTTCGATTTTTATTTATTTTAATTAGTTTTTGTTTAAATTTTTGATTTTTTTTTGTTTAATTTCGTTATCTTTTATTAATTTTGTTATATATCTTTTATTAATTTTGTTATATACCTTTTATTAATTTTGTTACCTTTTATTAATTTTATTACCTTTTATTAATTTGTTTTTTGAAGTTTTTTTTTAATAAAGTTAAAATTAAGTTTGACTTTGTTAACGACAAATTTTTGTTTTGCAACAATAAATATCACACGATGGTAATAAAAAATCAATGGGATGGTAATAAAACTTTAATGGGAAGAAACCAAAAAAATAATATTTAAAATATTAACACTTAAATACACGTATTAACACTTAAATATTAAAAGAACTAGTAGTATATTAATAATGATGGCTATTACCTTTAGGCACATGTTCCATGACATAAAGGACTAAATGAATACCACCAGGACTTATGCGTTGTTAACAAACCGAATATTATTAAAAGTACAGCTATTACCATGCCACAAAAACAAAACCAAGTTTTAATATTAAACTTCTTAAACTTAATACTTTTTATATGAAATATCGCTGCAATAAAACTATTGATTGTCCATATGGAGCAAATTATTGTCAAAAATCTGCATCTACAGAGGAATGAAACTGGAGGTGTTTTATAGGCTATGATTACTGATATCCAATGAAATGTTGAAACTAAAAGAGTAATTATAACAAAGACTTTTTTTTTACAAAGTTCAAAATTATCTAAAGGTTTTACTTGGATTCGATTAGTTTTACTTATAAGCTTTATCAGAACTTCTGACTTTGCTGGTTTTTCGTTCACTAAAATCTTTGAACTTTCTGTATTTTCATTAATTTGAATAATTTTTGTATCATTTGATCTTTCATTTATGTTATTTGAAATTTTTATGACTGATGAATTTAAATGTCCTGGGATTCCTACATTCATTTCACTTGGTAATTTGAATACCACATTTCCATAAAGTGCTCTATAATAAATTACAGGCAATGTCCAAATGAATAACATTGATATAAATGGCCAATCCTGATATGATTCATCATATGTACATGGTTCTTCAAATAGTATCGAGATCCCTCCAACAATACCAAATATTATGTAGAATCCTGAGATCAATGAAGAAAATCTATCCATTAAAGACGCATCTACAACGCAAAGTTCTAGAAGAGCTTCCTGTGTTGGGTTAGGAAGTAATTGTTTAGCGTGAAATCCCATGGGTCGATTTTCAATTTCTTTATACTTTTGATTTTCTTCACTTTGCTTTTCATCTTCAATTTCATAAAAACATTCTGGAGGAAGCCAGTAAGCACACATTTCTTTTTTATCATCTGCCACATTACAAAAATAAAGTAATCCTATAAAAGGACAACCAAGGCATAGAAATAACCTTTGTAATTTCGGCCAAAAACCATTTCGTGGAGTCGATCCAAGTGTTATTATGACTGGTAATGCCCCAATCAAATAATGGGGCATAGGATTTTGTATTTGATTTAATGTGGTTATCATATTAAAATTCAATTCAATTATAAACGTGAATAATTAATTACCCCGCAACAATGGAATATTAAATAATTACTAAAAACTTACAAAAATTGCATAAGTTAGTTCAATAAAAAAAATAGGTATGTATCGGTATAAATAATAAATTTATGATGGTGTAACTGCAGAGCCTTTAACGCTATTTTCATAAATGCATCAATTGGTCAGTAAAGATAATATCAGATGAAATTAGTAAGTTTCAAAGCGAGGCGTGCAAATGATTTACCAAATTGGTCGAAACAATGATCCAAAAATGTTGATAATGAGCACGTTAGTAATTGTGGAACGTAATCCATAAAACAAATTTTTACGTTGTTGCTGGCTTTAAGATTAGGAAATGAAAATTCCGACTTAGCTCAAAAATAGAGTCCTTATCGCTATTGTTATGGTACGTACTGTACATACATTAAATTGCCGGAAATACAAAAGAAATAATATAGAATTTAAA